GCACGTGGTAGCCGGGCCTTGCGGGTCCTCGCTGGGACGAGAGAGAAAGAGGAGAAAGGAGATGGAGCGGAGAGAGATAGAAATAGGAAGGTAGAGAAAACTCAGCGCGGTTTGGAAAAACCCACGACGAGGCCCGGCAAAAAGAGAAAAAATTACTTCCGATGTCTAAGCACGGCCCAAGGGAAAGGATACCACAATTTTCGCGTAGTTGAGACCTTCAAAAAGGAGGTTCTCAACTTGAACAGTGGTACTTTTTGACGCGAAGATTCTTTACTAATGTGACCGGTATCATGTTAATAGAAAAAAACTATTTTTCTTTTTCGGAGAAGAATCCTCACAGAAATATTTTTTATGGATCCGTTAAAAATTTAAAAACATGGATCACTTCATATGCGTCCTCTTTAGTGATTTCATTACAAAATAAAGAGGTTAGCTATTTAAAAATTTATTTTAATTTATCATTATGCAAAGAATCTTTAATTTTACATAAAGATTGAAAAAAAATCAAAACAGTTTAAAGATTAATTAGTTACAAATATTGTAAAGTACTTCAATTAGTATAATCTATGTGAAAAAGGTAGCCTTTGGCCTAAAATTGTGGTATCCCACGACAAGGGTCCTTAAGGGGATGTCAAAGTAGATGTGATTTTTCCATTGAAACTCAAATTCAACAAGTTGTCCAGAAATTAACTACAGTTCTCCAGGAACAGCTTAAAATTTTATTTCAACTTACATTACGGTTTTGTAGTATTTCTTGTCTTTTCCCATATCCTAAGTTCTTAAACAAGTTTTGTAATAACTCTTGAAAAAAGTTTTTCCGTGTTGAAAATTGAATTATTCTTTTTTAAATACAGTTATATTCAAAATTTTTTAAAAATTATTGTCAAAATTTTAATTATTAATATACATAATAAAATTCTTGTAAAAATTTTAATTACTTTCAAAAATTTTCCTCAATTTAATGATTTTTAATATGTACTATTTTAATAAAGTTTTCCAAAAGAATTCAACTATTTACATAAAATAATAAAAATTTGACAGGTATTCAATTATGTATTTACAAATTTTTTATAAATTTCTTGGCAATAATTGAATTTTGAAAAGGTTTTAAATTTAAATCTTTTGAGAATCTGAATTTTTCATGTTTTTAACTATTAATTCTGTAGAATTAATTTTATAGAAAGGTTCAACTAAATTACTTTTTGAAATTATTTGAATTTTTTATTTTTTAATTTATATTTAATTGAATTTTGAAAAGGTATAAAGTTTTGCAAAATTAAATTGTGAATAAATGGATTTGAAAATTTTCGAAGAACTCTTTCAAAAATTATTAAAAATAATGGATTTATAGAAGAATGTTAGTTAGAAACGCTAAAATAAAAATTTTTTTTTGAGAAGTTAGGTACCAATTAATGCAGAAATTTAATTATTGAGTAATAAAATTCTTCTTTGGGATTAAATTATTTTTACAAATAATAAAACTCTCATAGTATTGCAATTATTTTTAAAACAAATGGTATGTAAAAATGGTATGTTTAAATGGTATGTAATTTTTCATTTTTGGTCCGTAAAGTTAAAGCTTTGCAAAAATGGTGTAATAGACATTTTTGGCCATTTTATCTAATATTACACGAAATCTTTACGAGATGGATCATTTTCAAGGTCAGATTAGTATTCAGCGTCAAATAATCTGTAAAAATCACTTTCAATTTTTTTGTAACAGAGCTGACTAAAATTTTGCAAGCCTGTTTAACCAATTATTCAATTAATTGTTAAATTTTCTATTTTAATATTTGTATTCTTTCAGAAGTTTCTTACAAAAATTTATTTAAAAATGAATTTAAGATAAAAGTTTAGATAATAATAGAATATTGATGCGTTAGGGTACAATATAATAGGGGTGACAAATTTTAGGTATATTTATCATATTAATGTCTCAAAATAAACACAAGGCTTTTGAAAAATACTTAAAAAATTTCAATGTAGGGGAGAGTCTCCAGTTGTGAGACACCTCCAGTTGTGAGACAGTCAATTTTTTTAACATGCAATATTAAATCAAGTTGACAACCATAATGCGAAAAATGATAGATTATTGAATTAAATTGGTATTGTTATCAAAAATCAAACAGCGTAATTTAGTTACAAATTCATTGAGAGAAACACCCATAAAATCCACACTATCACGAAAATCATTAGCCTCACTACATACTGTTTATGACTGAATTTGATAAATAGTTGGTTCTCATGTAAGGCAATCTAAACAAAGTGGAGTTTCGCGGTGATTTAACTGGTACAAAAAAGTTTAATAACGAGAGCAGATGAGAACAATTTATAATTCCATTGATAATTTTAAAAATAAAGAGGAGATCGGCGTACAAAAATCGCAAAATAAGGTAGTCTTGACAAAGTGACCAAATAACTGAAGCAAACTCAATAATAGGCCTTACCAAAGAAAAAAATAATAATTTTATGGCGTTTATATTTTTAAAACGTGAGACATTTCTCAAAACAAAGCCCAAGACTCTAGTTGCCTTACTTATGGTAAGATGAATGTGATCAATAAAAGTAAGCGATTGGTCCAACTGAACCCCAAGATCACGCACCAGGGTTACTCTAGCTAATTGTGAATCACCAATTTTATAATTACACATGAAATTAACTCTCCGTCTAGAAAATGTAATGACGCTACACTTCTTCACATTGAGCAGCAACCTGTTCTCCACAGACCACGAATACAAATTGTTAAGATCAGATTGCAGATCCAAGCGATCCTGATCGTCACGAATTACCTTATACAATTTTAGGTCATCTGCAAAGAAAAGGAATTTACTATGTTTGAACAATTGTGTAGTGTCATTAATAAATAAAATAAAAAGAAGTGGACCCAAGTGCGAACCCTGGGGGACACCAGAAGTTGCCAAAAACACCTCAGAATAATCACACTCAATTCTCACAGACAAGTACCTATCAGATAGATAACTTCCGATCCAGCCAAGCATGTCCCGCGCAAAAGCCTCAAGCTTTGCAATCAAAATATTATGGTCAACCTTGTCAAAAAACCTTAGAGAAATCAGTATAGATAGTATCTATCTGCTCTCCCTCCACAATGGTGTTGTTTATGAAGTTTGTGAAAATAGTTAAATTTGTTAGTACTGATCTACGTCGCATGAAACCATGCTGCTTGTCAATAATTAGGCTCTCAAGTTGATTAAAAAGCGTGTCAAAAACAAGACTTTCAAAAATTTTAGGTATTGCACTAAGGATAGTTATTGGGCGATAATTCCTCACATCATTCTTAATTCCCTCCTTATAAATAGGCACAATAATTCCTCTTTTCCAATCTATCGGAAAAGTACCAATAGAGAGAGACCAATTAAAGAGAATGTTAAGCGGTTCCACAAAAGCAGAGCAACATGATTTCAAGATGGAGGGGGGTATTCCGTCCTGGCCTGCCCCCTTCCTAATATCTAGATTTTTTAGTTTAGAAAAAATTGAAGCTTTACTGATACTGAAGGTATTAATATGACAAGTGTTTAAAAATTCAAAGTCTGATGCTACAGCACCCGTGGAAGGAGAGCAGTAAACTGAACTAAAAAAAGATCGAAAGCTATTTGCAATATCAATACTATTATTTGCAGTAATATTATCGAGTTTCATCTCCCTAGGAATGCGCGAATCACCACGAAGTGAATTAACATAGTTCCAAAAATACTTAGGGTTGTGTGTAATTGAATTCTCCACCTTGCTTATATAATTGTTATGAGATTGCCTTGATAATGATTTGCATCTCGCACCCAAAAATTCAAATGAATCTGAAATCAAATTTGTTATTTCTCGATTTGAGCGTGAAGTTCCAGGAAATGGAGTACCTGATGGATCGCTATCATTCATATTGTTCCATTTAATAAACGGCAAATTAAAATCACCCAACACACACACTTTAGCATTAGGATAAGAAAATAATAATTTCTCCAAAATATAACAAACGGTTGCATAAGTATTTAAATTTGAATTTGGAGGTATATAAAAAGTACCTATAATGTAGCTAATAGAAGAAAACGAAAATTTGATGAAGACATATTCGATATCAACTACTCTCGACTAGAACTATGCGCCGCTGCGCCACGCTGACGCCGCTGCTCATCATGTGTGTATCAACTATTTGTTTATCGACGTTTAGTAATAAAGGGCAGTTTTTATACTAATACTGACCGAAATGGTCAACAAAAAATGAATTGATGAAAATGTAATTGATTTTTTTGGAATATGGAATTGAAAATATTAAATAATTGAATTTAAAAAAATTAGAAGCTAATTTTCATTTTTAAGTTTACATTTAAAGAGTTTTCATTCAAATTTTTAATAATTCTATTATTTGTAAATTTGTAATAAAAATTCTTCAAAAGTTAATTTTCAAAAATTGTAATAAAATACTTTAAAAAAAATTAATTATTTTCAATTAAATTTTACAAACTTTCAATTATTCAAAAGCTTTGTTTTTTTTAATTGCGTATATTTTGTACATAAAATTAGAAAAATTATTTAAAAATAATTTTTAAAAGATATGTATATATATTATTATATATCCTAATGTCACATAATAGATCTAATACAGAATTCTAATCGACACGCCGGCGCGCCGCCGTACGCCGGTTGATTTAAGACTGAACGCCGCCGCCGTTAAAATTCTATTCGGCGCAGACTTCTACTCTCGACTCAAGTACAGAGGCACGTAGAGCTGAGTTACATGCTATGAGCGCCCCACCACCGCGCGATTTTAAACTACTATTACCACTCCTGTCACAATGGAAAATGTCATAATTTAATAAACCTAATTCAATAGATGCAAAATGAGAGTTCAACCAAGTTTCTGTGAATATAAAAATGTCATATGCTGTTAATAAAATTGATTCACGAAGAATATTAAGTTTGGTTCTCAAACCTTTGACATTTTGATAATACATGGAGACGTTAGGTGGAAATAAAGAGGCACTGTGCACCTAGCTACGATGGGAGGGGGCTCCCCTTCCATCAGAAGTCGTTGAGCTGTTGACGAGCTCACCCACACTCACATCACTTACAACAGTTACTTTTTCTGTATTATGACTGGTTCTCCTCTTCTGTAGACAATGCGTAGTCCAACTTCTCCCCTTTCCACTCTGTCGTTCATCGCTGTTTTGACCTCCTTGTAGAAGCGCGATTGCATTGGTGTCTTGTCCCAAGACACTTGCACATCTTTGCACATGAACGGAGGTAGTTAAGCACGACTTGTTTTGGTGGTCTTGAATGCTGAGATCACTTGCTTCACTGATGATTCGTCTGTCAAAATTACTTGCAGTGGACGGATGCCTGGTGACATCTGTTGGTAATTGCCAAGACGAAACACTGAATGAATTTTTAAAGGATTTTCAGGTAGCAAAAATTCAATTATATTATTTACAATTTTTGTATCATTGTTAGAAGCGTCATTATTGACACTCTCGGGCAAATTATAAAAAATTAAATTTGATTTGCGTTTAGCACGTTCCTCCATCTCGTTTACGCAATCCGACAAGACTTAATCGGAGAGATTAGTAAATTTATTGTTTAAAGTTTCAATATCAGTCTTAATACCTTGAACCTCATCATCTAAGGTGTCCATGCGAGCCATAGCAGTAGATATGGAACCCTCAACACACGTTGAGAAACACACGTTGAGAAACATCATCCAATGTTGTTTTCAAGGGATCAATTTGAAGCGAGAATTTTTTCAGCTGTTCCGATAACATTTGAAACATGTCATCTTTTGTGACTGGAGCTGCAGTGGACGGTGAAGCTGGTCTTGAAGAACAACACTTTTTCTTTTTAAAACAACTTGGGTGATAGGGCAAATTGCACTTTTCACATCTAATTATTTCTTTCTGAACATCGTATCCACAGATACGACAAAATTTGTCTTGTACCGGCACCGTCAGCGTGGTCATGATAAATTTGAGGTTATGAAACTTGTTTAGTCGAGATTAAGTATGAAATATTGTAAAATAGAAACAGAAAAAAAACCACAGAACAGTTAACCAACTACGGCACACAATTCGGTTCACAAGTTCGGTTAATTTCAAAATATTTGCAAGAGATATGCAAAACACGTTCTATCATGAACTTCGCACATGCGCTTTCTATATATATATATATATATATATATATATATATAAAATAAAATATATAAATATTGCATTGTTCCAATCCATGGTTGAAAATAATTTAATTTTCCTTTTTCAAAATAGCGCCAATTTCTGGGTGTGAGACACAGCATATCACCAGTTGTGAGACGGTGTCAACACCCATCTGGGCAGCATAAAAAATACGACTTTGCAGGCATACTATTTAAATGTTGTTTTGATTTTTTTTCTAGTATTTTTGGGCATGTCAAGTGGAAAAAAGTCAATTGATTCAGAAGAAATCAATTTTAATCAAAAACTTTATTTTATTAATTATTATTATTATTCTTTTTTGTTACAGATCTTTCCTGCAGAAGAAAGAATAAGTCATGTTTACAAATAAACGATAATAAATAAAAGATATTTATATTTTAAACTTGTAATAACTTTAATAAAAACTTTTAAAAATTTATAACTTTAATGTTTAACTTACCTTATATTTAAATATTAATAGAATATCATTTAAATTTAAAGAAATGTAATTAGTGAAAAGTTTTATATTTAACCTTACCTCAGCTTTTATTTGTAACATTACCTCAACTTTTACGTACAACCTTACCATAACTTATACGTGTAACCTTACTACAACCTCACCGAGTAACCTTACCTCAACCGTAAGGTGTAACCTAAGGGGCCGTACACATAATACGTCACGCGATTTTTGACCATTTTTAACCCCTCCCTCCCCCTATGTCACACTTCGTCACAAACCTTGAACCCCCCCCCTCCCCCTATAACGTCACGTCACACACGTAATTTTAATGTGAATTTTATACATTTGACATTATATATTATATCCTACACTCAAAATTATTGAATCAGTTAAAAATATTTTTTTCTGACAATTAGTTAAAAGTAACTGATGTTTCAATATAATTTTTTTTGATTGATTCATTTAGTCACGTTTAACTACCTACATATCACCGAATCTTTCCTAAAAATTTATTAAAGATTTACTCGCAAGCTTCGAAATATTTAAATGCAAAGTTTAGTGAAAATTGTGTAAAGATTTAAATATCCCACTTCAATAAATGTTTAACGCGAAACTTTCCTGAAAATATTCACGAAATTATAGTCGAAAATGTAATTAAAAAGTTCAGGAATGTTTCAAGCTATATTTTTAAGAAAATTTGACGATAAACATTTATTGTAGTGAGAAATTTAAATCTTTACACAATTTTAACTAAACTTTGCAAGTAAATTTTTCGAAGTATGCAAGCAAATCTTTAATATACATATTTAGAAAAGTTTCGGTGTTTTGTGGATAATTTTTCAGTTATTTTTTTAACTGATTCAGAAGCAAAAAGTCAGTCACTGCTGATTGTCAGTTAAAACCAAGATTTTTAACTGATTCAAATTAAGAGAATATATTATTTAGCATATTATATTATAAATAATAAACCAATAGATGTTAAATAGGTACATAATAGATATTAAATACTTTAAAGCATTTTTAACTTGTTTTATTTAGAAAAAGTGACATTGTCACATATGATTTCTTATAATCTTTGAATTTAAAAGATTGTGACGTAACACATGAGTTCACCCCCCCCCTCCCCCATGTCACGCTTAGTCACAATTCTCAGACCCCCTCCCTCCCCCTAGCCGCGTGACGTATTATGTGTACGGCCCCTAACTACAACCTTTACGTGTAACGTTACTTATATGGCGGAACTTTTTAGCTCTCCATAAGTTCACTTCAAGTTTTCTTCGTAACCTTACAACCCATACAAATAAACTTACCATAGCGTTACAGTGTTATGTTGTGCTATGTGGGAATAATTTCTTAATTTTTTTAGATGATTTAAGCACCGTGCTTCCCTCAACCTCAAATGCAACGAAGAAAAATGCAGATGGTAAGTAAATGGTAACAACACAGAAATTACATGCTTACTACATAATATACTATTTTTGTTTACTAACTTTTTGTGTCTTAAGCGGTTGGTACTACATCTTATTTTAAAAACTTTATTTCCAAAAAAAAGTATTTCATTCACTTAAAACTTTTTATACATAAAAAAGAGGTTTTAACCAGTTAAAAGAATATTTTCATTTCTTGAATTGTGATTTTGGTACAAAGAATAGTTCGCTCTGCGGGAGCAAGATTCCTACATATTATATTCTGTTTTGTTTTTATAGAATATTAAAGTTCTCAACCAAAATTTTTCTTAGAGATATGGTACTAACTACTTCATTTCGATCTGAAGTCTGCTGTAATGATATCGAATTTCTGTGTAACTTTTATTTATAAAAGAAGTGACAAAACAAGTTAAAATATTAATGTTACAGGATGTAAGCTGGGACCAGAAGTACTGCAGAGAGTAATTTCAATGCAAACTATGATGAAATCGTTTTTTCAAAATTATGTTCAGCAGACATCTGTCCAAACAGTCCAATCTTGTAATAATAAGGATGATGATTTAAAAATTTTCCCCGGAAAATCCAAAAAGGAAGTAAAGAGAATCTCGAGGAAATTGAAGAAAGACGACGCACAGTGGGACAAAATCACTAAATCCTGGTCAAAATATGAAAACGTGTTTCAAAACAATTGTAACTTATAACTCGGGTGTTTTTAGAGTCGCTGATTACGAATCTGACATTATTTTTTCAAAATTCGAAATGGTGGATCCAATATGGCGGACAACAAAATAAAAAATTGATTGAATTGACTTGAAACTGAATACTTGGAGGTTTTTGAGGTCGCTGATTACAAATCTGACATTATTTTTCCAAAATTCAAAATAGCGGATCCAATATGGCGGACGACAAAATAAAAAATTGATCAGATTGACTTAAAACTAAATACTTGGGGATTTTCAGCTTTGCTGATTACGAAACTGAAATCAGTTTTTAAAAATCCAAAATGACTGATACAGTATAGCGGACGACAAAATAAAAAATTAATTGAATTGGCTTGAAAGTTACTTAAGGGTTTTAGTATTACGTAGCTGCATGCAACAACGCGTTTTTTTACCAATAATTATCATACTGATGTCGGATTAACCAGTTTCAAACAAATTCAATAAATTTTCCCAAGTATTTAGTTTCAAGTCAATCTGATCAATTTTTATTTCGTTGTCCGACATATTGGATCCGCCATTTTGAATTTTGAAAAATTAATGTCAGAATCGTTATTAGCGATCCTGAAAACCCCCAAGTAACCATTTTCAAGCGAATTTGACCAATTAAAAAAATTTTCCGAAATTTTGAATTTTAAAAAACTAATGTCAGATTCGTAATCAGCGACCCTTAAAACCCCCGAGTAATCAGTTTCAAGCAAATTTGATGAATTTTAAACGGACCCCGCACCAAATACATGAGAAAAAAGATCCCGGTGAAAGAACGATGCTGAAAAATGGTCAAAATTTGCCCCCTAAGGGGATTGTAAAAGAAGTACATGTTTTTATAGATTTTAACCTGCTGAATCCGAAAATCAACCTAAGAAAGTTCTAAATCTTGGGGAAAGGGTTGAAGAACCACCCTTAACTTAGAGACACAATTTTCAATAAAAAATAGTAAAATATGATAAAATTATTAAATAAGAAATGTTTACACTATAATTTAATAAACTAAGGTAACAGTAATAATAACCGCATAATTTAAATCACGATTACGACCCTTGCAGTTTAAAAAACTACCCCCTCATACATCAACACTTATGCCAAACCCCCAAAAAGGTATAAAACGTCAATATATTGATACATAAGAAAGCAATAATTAATCCTTTAAAAATAAACAACGTTTACCACTACTGCAGGAATATCGGCCACCCTAAATATGTTAAAAAACCACCCCTAAACAACCAAAACCGAAAAAAAACTTAAAATGTTATGGACTAAGTTTCTAATGTTTTTGTTAAAAAGTTATCCCTACCAATAACAAATAAGCAACTATTGTTACATCTACCATTAACTCAACAACCCTTAATCATGATCAGAAACTACCCCTATATCATCCTTAAAAAATAACCTCCGAAGTTACAAATTAAAAACCAAATTATTTTGCTATTTATGACACTTTAAATATATATTTGATATGGTGATAATCAATTTATTGCAATTAATAAAGAAAACACATAAAATATTCAAACCTTGAAGGTACAGTCTTTGGTGGTCCAATCAATAAAGATCAGGGCTATTGGATTCAACCATTGAAGGTAAGAAACATTGTGGACCACTCAATGAAGATCAATGTTATCAGGTCCAACCACTGGAGGTGAGAAACATTGTCCAATCAATGAAGATCAGGGTTATCAGATCAAACCACTAAAGGTAAGATACATTGTTTTCCAATCAATGAAGATCAGGATCATGGGATCCAACCACTGAAGGTAAAAAACATTGTTGACCACTTAATGAAGATCAATGTTATCAGGTTCAACCACTGGAGGTGAGAAACATTGTCCAATCAATGAAGATCAGGGTTATCAGATCAAACCACTAAAGGTAAGATACATTGTTTTCCAATCAATGAAGATCAGGATCATGGGATCCAACCACTGAAGGTAAAAAACATTGTTGACCACTCAATGAAGATCAATGTTATCAGGTTCAACCACTGGAGGTGAGAAACATTGTCCAATCAA